ATATTTTAGTATATTAATCTTCATTAATCTATGTTTTATTACTCTATAATATCTTTTTCTATTATTTATACGTCTCTAATTAACATATTTAGAAGCTTATTAAAAACGCGCTTTTCGATTCTTTTCAGAAATAGAAGATTTGTAGCAAGTAACTTAACGCGAAAAGCCTGCTCTTTATAGAGCATTTCGAATAGCATATTATCTGATATTGATCTTTATAGCAAGAGGGATCTGGATCTATAGTATACGTTGATTAGCTGCAGAAGAACAAACCCACGCAATAATTTGCTCAAGTTCTTCTTCAGTAATAATTGAATGTCGCCCAGTATGCTTTTTAGGTGTTAATTGATTATGAATAGCATATTTGATTTGGTATAGAGTAAGATTTGGTAACTGCTGACGAATTTCGTTGTATGTATGGCCTGCGTCGTGTAGAGTTTGAATTTGTAAACGTTGATCTCGAGTAGAATGAGAGGAATGAGAGGAATAAGGAGGAGTAGAGGGTCTATCAGACTCATTAGTATCCATATCAAATTAATAGAATTTGTAGAATTCGTAGAATTTGCAGAATGACAAAATTCGTGCAAAATAGCGACAGGGATGCTGACAGGGATGCGCATGTAAAAAACGCGTTTGTAAGATATTTTGACCAGGGGGGGGGGGTGCAAAAATTAGCTGCGCACGTGCAACTCCGCACAGTAGTTAGCCTCTCCTCCTTCTGAGATGGACTCTGCAGGTAGATGGAATTCAGTTCATCCACTTCTTCAGATAGATGATTATTTAAAAAATAATATTTTAATTACAAAGAGATGTGAGCCTTATATAGTGTATCGTCGTTATTGCGTACGGATGACGCCACCTACGTATGCAGCTGTTCTGCTCACGACAATGTTAGGTAGTACACGCTGTTCAGCATGTCGGGGTGCCCTTTCCCCAGCACTTTCTCATATCCTTCCGGCGCTGCCAGGTTGCTTAGGCTGGCCAGCGTGGAGGGGCCAATTCATGACATAGCTACCGTCTTAAAGTGCTCCTGACACATCTCTAGTGGCTTGATAACGTTCTTAATAATCTCGCCTCGCCATGATTGATTCGCATTATTCGCGCCTATAAAGCACCATTTCACAGCGGAAGCGTATTCATCACCGCCTTCATCACCCACACTTTGGGACCACTTCAGCGCGGCCATGAGATCGAAGGCTTGCTTTGTTTCTCCGGCCACGGCTGGATTCCTTTTGCGGAGAGGGTGGTCTTCTAGTCGTCGACCGAAGCAGAGCTCCAGGAGGAGGATGCCAAGTGAATAGAAGTCGCAGTTGTTGACTTCGGCATTTGAGGTCGCAGGATGGTGGAGTGGAAAACCTTGGCAAATGAAGGGCTCATGGTATGGTACGCTGCAGTCGTCATCCTCGCATGGAAAGAAGAAAATGTCTTCTTTCTTGAGCCCGGTTCTGAGCCATGCAGTAAACTGGAGCTGGGCTACCGAGGAAGCCAGAAGAAGGGCGATAGAGTAGCGTTGACGTCGGGTGAGGTGCCCTTCGAAGTTATTGGAGAGGATATGATCTAATGTTAGCGGGCTGCTCTTGTCGGGTCGTTTCCTCTTTGTGAACGGGTGCAGGTGATACGTTTCGTCGTCATGGCCGATGATGCCCATGCACTTACCACATTCTTTGTCACCAAGAAGCTGGCAGAGCTCGACGGATGGGTCAACTAAGCCAAACTCGATCTTTGGTACGGTCGGGGCGGGTTTTGTGAAAGCCACCCTCTTTTGCCTTGCTGCTGTTGGTGATGGCGCCGGCGTCGGAGTGCAATTGGGCGGACAATGCGATGACTGAGGTGCGGTAGAAGGTTTCATGAGTTTATGCGGAAAGGAGCAGCCGATCATTTGTCCACACTGCAGCTCTCGCCATGACCATGGTGTATTCACCTGAGACGATGGAGCAACGAACATGAGAATGACCTCGAAGCATATATCCGGATGTGTGCGATGCTCAAGCCGAAGATTGGCGAAGTGGTACTGCTGACATGAGCACTGCCATGCCTTTTGCAGGGCTTTGAAGAGGAGGTCCGACTTCTTCCACGCCTTCTTGAATGCCGTCTCTAGAGCGGAAGTCTGCTTCGTGTTTGCACAAGCAGCGTTCTGTAGCGCGGATACTTTGTCGCTCGTGTTGAGGAGCTTCTCCAATCGTCCGTTGCATTCCTTCAGCTGATCGAAAAGCTTATTTCTCACGGGCTCATTGAAGCTGAACCTGAGCCGGAATGTCTCGTAGTCCCACTTCGACTTTGCTGACGCCAATTTGGAGGGCTTGCTCGGCGGCTGCGGGCTCGATGGTCGCCGCTGCTTCTTTGGCTCTGCCGGAACCAGCTTACTTTGAACAGTCGCCTTGTCAAGAGACAGCTCCTTCCTCAACTCCTCGGCTGTCTGGTTCATCTCACGTATGATTTCGATGTATAAACTGCACGATTCCTGAAGCCGCCCCTCCAAGCGCTCTTGCAGAGCCTTGCTGCTCCAGTCTTTGCCACCAGGGTCAGCCACCAGACGAGCTACTTCACCTACATCATTCATAACTGGCAACAGAAGCTCTTTCAGATTCCTCTTATACCATATCTCATAAAACCGCACGTCGTTGCGGCATTTTGTGTATTCCTTCCGCACTCGCCAGAAAAAACCGCCGACCCTGGCGACATCGCGCCAGTGCTCGAGGCCGGAGATGATCAGAGGAAAGGTCCCGAGGAGAACGCCTGCGATTTCAAGGCCGCTCATCAGGATGAACTGGAAAGTGGAATGAGACGAGGAGGAAGGAGGAGATTGAGCAAAGCGCGGTGTGGTGGTGCCATGGGCGTGGCTGAAGGCTGAGGAAAGAGCGATCGTTTTGGCCCCCATGCGGCCCTGCACTTATGGCCACCAACCTTAATCCCACCCTAACAGCCTGAGGAGATGGCATTACTCTCCTAACACACGTTCATCAATTCTTCGAACGGAAATCGCTCGTTTTCGTCGTTGAGACTTGCGAGTCAAGTGCGGCACCGGAGCGCCCAGCCCAGAGACACCTGAGCACCTCTGCTCATCAATGATCCGCACAATGCTTAACTTCAAGTCGCTGCCGAGCTGTTCGTCGCGAAGTCTAGGCCAGGATGGTAGCATCTGCGTCAGAGCAATGTCGGACCTGCATCACGACCCTCAAGACCATTGTCTCAACCCTCTCCAATCCTGACAGGCAGAAGGGCCGAGTCCACCATGAGCAGATCAACGATGAGCTGGAGAGGTTCAGCCTATGGATGGGCAACATAGGAGCCCTACATCTTCCAGAGTCTTCTATGTCTCTCGAGTCGCGTCTTCGCGAGGCCAACGATGTTCTGACCCATATTCTGGAATTGCTAGATGATCTGAACGAGGTCGCCGGAGAGCGTGTGTCTGCTGCTCATCCATGCCTCTGAACTAGCTGACATGATCTAGTCTTGAGGATCGTCTCCGGAGAGCGCGAAGGAGAGATAGCTTCTGTACCTCATGATGATGGCAAGGAAGAAGACCAAAACGAAGAAACGGAACTTCTCAGGGAATTTGGGGCCTGTATCACACGTCTCTTCAGAGTATCCAGCCTCATCCGCCAGGCTGCACCTACGGATCTCTTCGCTAAAGCCCTTAGCCGGAATCGATATCGATTCAATGACCAGTTCGACATCGCTCATGTGGGTGAGAAGTACCCGAAACTCACTACGGGGGAACTTGCGTGGCTCCAGAAGCGGCTCGGTCATGCCATCACCCAACGCCGACACTACCTGAGCTACATCCGAGACCACCACGAGGAGCTTGAAGGCAAGCGCACTCATGAACAGACACCTGGGCCTGTAGTACCCAAATCACAAGCTCCCATTAAGCAGCTTCCAGCCATGAAAGTACTACCAGACTCTTCCAGCCGGCCATCCACGTTCTTCACGAAAGCTTCGAGTCTGACACCGGGCCAAATCACACCTCAGATGCTCGCTACGGAAGAAGAATCAGACCCCGAGAACGATGCAAGGTCATACACGACCATATCTCGTTCTATCGATGGTGATCTTGATCCCTCGGCCACTGTCAGAATTCCGAACCTCGACGAGCTGCGAACGGGATCTAAGAAAGAAGTGGAATGCCCGTTCTGCTTTCGAATGAAGAAGTTCAAGAACGAACGAGTGTGGCGACGACATGTTTTCTCTGACCTCCGCTCCTACGTTTGCACATTTCAGAACTGCGACGCCCCGTACTTCGGCGATATCAACGAATGGTTTAGTCACGAGATGCGGAGCCACCGCGTCAGCTACATCTGCCGGCTCTGCCAGAACAAGGCCTTCCAGATCAGAGAGCGGTACCTTGCCCATGTTCGCAAACAACATCCCAACATGCTGGAAGATGGCGAAGAGCAACTCGTACTTGATATTGCCCGAAAGCCACTTGATCAGATACCTGCTCAGGAATGCCCATGCTGCTCGGGATGGATTGACCGTCTCAGGGAGCGGGCAGCAGCCGCCGGTATACCTTCTGACGCCTCCGATCACATCCTCAGTGTCGTCCCAACCGTCTTCAAACGCCACCTCGCTTCTCACTTGGAGCAATTGGCGTTGTTTGCAATCTCTATTGGGTCAGCTGCTGAGGGTTGCGTCAATTCAAATGCCGCCATCGAAGAGGATGTGCGTCCATTTTCGGGGGGTTCGGATATCTCAACCCTCGCCTTCGACAGTTCCAGGCCATCATCTCCAGCGACTACCGGGCAGTTATCTGATGACGTCCCAATCCCAGAGGGGTTGGTCGCGGCTCCTGCCGTCGTGCAACGAAAGGTCCAACGTCTACTAGACAAGATGACGCCGGATAAATTCGAACGAATCGCCGATCAGATTCTTGAAATTGCTGCCCAGTCGAAGAACGAAACAGACGGTCGCACTCTTCGACAAGTCGTCCAATTGATCATGGAAAACGTGACTGATGAAGCTTATTGGGCTTCAACCTATGCATTGATCTGTGAACGGATGCTGAAGTTTATAAGTCCTGACATCAAGGACGAAAATATTAAGGACAAATACGGAAACGTCGTGACAGGTGGTGCTTTATTCCGCAAATATCTTCTTGGCCGCTGTCAGGAAGAGTTTCAACGTGGCTGGAAGGTCAATATGCCGCCCACGCCGGAAGGGCAGACGGAAGAGGCAGCCCTGATGTCAGAGGAGTGTCATATTGCTCTTGTTACTAAGCGACGAGGTCTAGGTCTTGTTAAATTCATCGGCGAGCTCTACAAAGTCGGCATGTTAACTGAGCGTATTATACATGAGTGTATTAAGGAATTGCTCAACCTGGATGAAAGTGGCCTTAATGAATCAAAAGTGGAGAGTTTGATCACTCTTTTGAACACAGTGGGTCTGAACTTAGAACAGTCCGGACGAAGTCCGGCATTGATGAATATATATTTCGAACGTATTACGTCGATTATGAACCATCCAGACTTGCCAAGTCGACTCAAGTCCAAACTCCTAGACGTCATTAACCTTCGAAAGCACGGTTGGCAATTCAAGGATGATGACAAGGGTCCCAAAACCTTTACAGAAACGCACGCGGATGTTCAGCGTAAACAACAAGCCGAGCTCGAACGTTTACGACACCAAGCCAGCAATAGAAGCGGTGGTGGTCGACTGGCGATCGGTCGTCCTCCGATCTACTCGTATAAAAATGTTGGCACCAACGATCTCTGATGTTTTGGGATGCCAGGGTAGAATACGATCTTGACATTTATTTGGATGAGTTATCAACCACTACGGCAAACCCCGACACCATGAAAGAAGCGGAACGTCCTAATATTATCGATCTACAATCAAGCAGTGATGATACCTATGAATTCAGCACATAACGGTCTAGCACAGGAGGGAGGATCGATGCGTTAAACTATGTCAGCGATATCCATCCCTTACTCCCTCCCCCGCAGGCCAGGTCCGCCAACAGCTTAGCGACAATTAGAAGTCGCGTTCGGTACCACACTGCATTCTGTTGGGATGTGTTTCTGGCTATGCAAGAAGATAAGAACCCCGATCATTATTGGGCCCTTCGATCTGAGTTGGCGACACTGCGACAAGAGAATGAGCGGCTAAAAAAAGTGATTAGTAAAATACGTCAGAAGAGTACCAAGGATAAGGCAACTATCGACTATCTCGGTAGAGCCACGCCGCTAACCCGAGGAATACAAATGGACATAGCTGACGCTATCAAGAAAGACCATGTCAAAGCGGTTTCAAAGAGGAAGAGAAGCAGAACTGTAACAAATAGCGATAATAGTGGAGGTGATGATCATGAAACGGATACCATTCCAAGGGAGCAGCTGAAAGGGTTTCAAAGATTGGAAGCTGCTGTACTATAGTAGGAGGCATAATTGATCGTAGCACGGCGCTAGTAGCAGCTAGTTCGGATACAGCGCCACCTCGGTGTCTAGAAGCTTGTTAGACAACTATTGGTATCAATTGGCCACAGTAATACCGCTTAACCGTTCAAAGCTTAGCTGTCTCGTTTGAAGTCTGTTTTAGTGCAGATATACTAGGGCCGTGCTACGAATACTTCAGCCAGGTACCGTAGTAGACAAGCTCATGCAGCGAAGCTGCCAGGAAGGTTTGTCTTAACTAGTCTAGTCTCATTTACAGCCTAGAAGCACTTGATCTCTAAAGAACTCAATCAACAAAGCTTTAATTATATCTAATATAGCATACATTGCAATTCAGGCTGGTATGAAATTTGAGCTGGTCCTGTGAGAAACAAGCTACTGGGAGAAACCTACTAGGAGAAACAGGCTACTAATAGATTCTCTCTGAGGACCTTAGACATCCAAAGAGGTTTTTAAATCATATATACTGTTGTAGAATGAGTTGTAGTAATGTATGCCGTTGTAAAACAAGTTGTAGTAATGCAGATTATTATGTGACAAACTATTTTACTGCTAGTTGTTGTGCTTTATACCGTTATAGAATGAGTTATAGTAATGCATGCCATTATAGAACGAGTTATAGTAATGCAGATTATTATACAATAAGCTATTGTGCTACTGGTTGTCATGCTACATACTGTTATAAAACAAGTTGTAGTAATATAGTTCGTTGTGTAACAAGCTGTTATGCAACAAGCCTCTATTACATGCCGTTCGAGATTCCCTTGTGACTAAAGACTTAGCAGGAACTAATACATCTAATTAGCTGTCGCGGTCAGGTGATTCTTTTCCTCTAAGCAACACAAGGTAACTAATTTTAATTCTAAGTAAGAGGGACCGGAGGACTATAAATAGGCCTTAATAAACAGTCGAATTAACATATATAATAGCGAAAATCTTAGCTATAAACAACTGATTAAAAGCACACTACAAACTAGAGTTATACCCTACATCCTGACGTAGTGAATAACCCTCCAAAATCCCTAGATAGTAAAAGTGAAGTAGGTACCTAGGGCTTGGCTTCTTATTCTTTACCACTAAATATGATAGTTCCCTTCTGAATAGTGCGAGTCGAATGTGTAGATGTATATGTAGACTCTAACACCTTAAGAAGGGCTGCACTCTAATGCGGAAAGAGGAATACGCGATGATATATAGGCAGTGGTCATTGGTCAATATTAGACTAAGAGAGATTTCTTGCTATTACCGTTTTTTAACTCCTATATAATACCGTCCATGCTGCGAAAATGGAGTATATTACACTAATCCAGTGTTCGATTGAAGATACAGCTGAGCATTATGGGTTGTTTGTGATTTTCAAAGAATTTCTATAATGTGGAAAGGTACTTCTAGAAGACTAGATATAAAACCCTTACAGCTTGGCAAGTAAAAGTAGTTTGTAAAGACAGATGCTCTAGTCACAACACCGTCAATCATCTTCGACTTAGTTCTATCAGCATCTATAACGAAGTCATGTGATTTGCTGTTAAAGGTGCCTTATAAACCAGTGTCGCCCAGAAAATGTAAATTATACAGACAATGTGAAACTCCACAACATAGCATTACTTTGCGGACACTTTACTATTCAAGGCAGAGCGTAAGGACAAATAAACCTTTAAGAGATGAAACGCTAAGGTTGAAATACCTAATCAGAATAAGAGTGTTACATAACAGTAGTATTTTATGAATATTATATAAAATAAGCCTCTTTTGTGTGTAGCGAGTCCTGCTATTAATCTAAATATTTATTGTCATTTATATGACTTGTTCTAAGATAACTTAAAATGAAAAATGCTGACAAGACCAGATTGTGCAACAACTGCAAGCTTATCGCCATTCAAGATTGCAATGCCACGATACTCATGCGGAAGCCATAGAAGATTTTGATTTCCCTGTTGAATCCAATCACCTGATACACTAATCATCCTGTCTTCGCAAGCCTTAATACCGTCGGCATTAAGAGAACTGCCGTCTCCTGTATTGAATATTCCTTTATTTGTGACTGAAGTCATATTATTATTGGCGAAGCGAATATTTCTAGGTGTTAGAACGTTCTTAAGTCTTTTTACTGTTTGACCGGTCTGCGTGTCCCACAGTCGGATCGTCTCATCATCTGATCCTGAAGCGAGGATAGCGCCGTCAGGTGAGAATGTCATTGCCATAACCCTACTAGAGTGTCCCTTCAGCTTCTGTACTTCTCGACCGGTCTGCGTGTCCCATAGTCAGGTTGTCTTATTGTCTGATCCCGAAGCGAGGAGAGCGCCGTTAGGTGAGAATACCACTGCCATAACCTTATCAGAGTGTCCCTCTAGCTTCTAAAGCTCTAGACCCTATCCTATAGGAGTCTTTGGATGCTGTTGTATCTATGTAAGAACTCAACCACAGATATTTTGAATTAGACTATCCTGTGGTACAAAAATAATTGTAGACAAATAAAGTTGTAGTAAGGCGAGGTCAATAATAGATCTATTTTTTCAGATGAACTGTTGGGCGTCCTCTAGAAAAGTTGGTAGATCACAGGCCATTGTCTTTAGCTCTTAATATTAGCAAAGTCTAAAATATATAATTTTATTCATTAGAGATGACTTACTGATATGTAAGACTGCAAAACACCCAAAAGCTTAATCGTCTTTAAGATGTAATCTATCAAACTTAGCGCTTTAAGCCATAAAGAAAATGTTTCTTTAGAAAATTGTGTACTTCCCTATCATTTTGAATCTGGTGAAGACTGTGCTGAATGTAGTGAACCCAGTGCTGATAAGCATACTGCAATACTAGAAAAAGCTGACTCGCAATAATAGTCGATTTGGTTATATACTGTAGCTGTCCTAGATACTCGAGGTCACAAATATTCTCACACAAGCTATTAGGGCTAGAAAGAACTCTCAAACAGTGTCTGCTTAGCGTTAGATGTATGTTAGGACTGTTAACTCTGAAAGATTGCTTTTAAGCTTTTGAGCTTAATAGAAATTCAGCAAAGGAAAGATGAAGAGTTCAGATAGGAGTATCTTAGTCAGCTAGGATATGAAGCACCGAATATAGTAGAGCTAGTTGCTGGCTGATAGATTAGAGCGACATCCCTAATAAACTCGCTAGACTACTCTTTGACAAAGTGTTACAGCACATGAACGCACTAGGCACCGACAGGCCTTGGAGGCTGCACGGACCCTGTGTGAGGAGACCCTGGAACTAACCAAGCCCAAGGGGCTTGGCGAGAGAACACGCTCATGCGGAGACAGCCTTGAGCAAGGTGTTCATGAGGAGGGACTGATGAGCAACGCTTACGAGCGCTTATGAATGAGTAGCCATAGACACGAATCTCTTAGCCTATATAAGTACGCTTATTTCCTAGATAATTTTATAGTCTTTGTAGTCAACTTATATTATTAGCTTATATCTAAGTTAAAGACATCTTAATAGTATTTATTATATTTTCTGTTTTACCTAACTAATTTATTTAGACCTAGCTTTTAGTTAAGACTTATCTATTAAGAATTCATTATGTTGTTATGTTATAGTAATATATAATAGTTCAAAGGTTATGATTTAGAAGAAAAGTATATAGGACGATTATATACGTAAGATAATTATAAACCATATTAATATAGTTTATAATTATTCTATATATATAATTATCTTGCGTACTTTTCTTCTAAATTATAATCTTCTAACTATTATATATTATTATAATATAATAATATAATAAATTCTTAATCTTAAAAAGCTAGAATTCTTTTTATTATCTAGGCTATTTATACTAACTAAGAAATATTAATCTAACATGCTATAAAGATATATAACGTCCCTTAAACTATTCTTTATAATTATATAAAGGGCTGTACCCTAAAGGCTAAAGAGCGTAATACTTAATATATTTTGACTCTGACGAAAGAAGAGACGCTTATATAATATATTCTTAACCTGAATTCGTAAGAATTCCTACTCTAGATTAACAATATATAAGATATAGCTAACCTTCTTTATAAGACGTGTTATATAAAGCCTATTAGCAAGCAGTAACTATATAACTTTATATAATATTACCTTAAGCTTAAGACATGTTTTTTATATATATTGTGTTGAGAATACATGCTAATTAACAGACTATAGTCTGTATTATTTAGCTATACAAGTATAGCTAAATATTGCCCGGTCAGGTAAATCCTAATCAGGTATAGTACAGGATTCTATATACTGATAACACAGAATATACCACGTAATTTATGCGCTAGCAGGATCTGTACTTAGTATGCAGATATACTGTGATCTTACTTAGCATATAAG